TTACAGTTACTTCTTTCCAGTGACTGCGTAAGAAACCAAAGTATGGAAGCCCTAAATAATAAAGGACCAGAAGGATCCATGCAGTAAGAGTCATCTAAAATGCCATATGTGATAATGTGAGAAGATATGGCCCAAAAGATTTAGGAAAGCTTAGAAAACAACATTAAGAATGAATATGTTCAAGAGTGAAATTCCAGCTCTTGTCTACACCTAAGTGTAGGTAAAATAAGGTATATGAGTAACCTCTGCATTTCTCCAGTCCCATTTTGCTGTTGGAGGCCTGTCTGATCCTGTTACAAACTCAAGAAGTAGGGCTGGCCCAAATTGGACAAAACTGGTTTCCATCTAGGAGTGTCAGCACATTAAAATCAGAGCTTTACTCTGAGAAGATTCTACTGTCAGTGAAACCAGAGTTGTTCATAGGCATAAGATACAGCTTAGAGCAAAACACCAAGATCATCACAGGACTTCCTGCCCTTAGGGAAGACACATGCTCCTATTCTACTCAGACCTTGGCAGCATGGCTTGGTGCCCAAACCACTGGCTTACAGGATACTCTTGTGGAGCCCCTACACTCTTCATAAATCACTGCACATTCACTGGAATAGGAACATTTTCCACAAGGCACCAGTTGGCGGCCGGTCACTAGTGGTGTCCCCCAGGGATCAGTGTTGGGCCCAGTTCTGTTTAATATCTTTATTGATGATTTAGATGAACGGATTGAGTCCACCATTAGCAAATTTGCAGATGACACTAAGCTGGGGGGGAGTGTCGATCAGCTGGAAGGCAGAAGGGCTCTGCAGAGGGACCTGGACAGACTGGAGAGTTGGGCTGATTCCATCGGGATGAGGTTCAACAAGACCGAGTGCCGGGTCCTGCACTTTGGCCACAACAATTCCCTTCAGCTCCCAGCTGGGGACAGAGTGGCTGGAGAGCAACCAGGCAGAGAGGAACCTGGGAGTTTGGACTGACAGGAGGCTGAACATGAGCCAGCAGTGCGCCCAGGTGGCCAAGAAGGCCAATGGATCCTGGCCTGGATCAGGAATAGTGTGGCAGCAGAACCTGGGAAGTAATTCTTCCCCTTTACTCAGCGTTGGTGAGGCCACACCTCGAGTGAGGCCACACCTCGAGTGCTGTGTCCAGTTCTGGGCCCCTCAGTTCAGGAAGGACATGGAGGTGCTGGAGCAGGTGCAGAGAAGGGCAACGAGGCTGGGGAAGGGACTGGAGCACAAGTCCTGTGAGGAGAGGCTGAGGGAGACTGAGGGAGCTGGGGTTGTTTAGCCTGGAGAAGAGGAGGCTCAGGGGAGACCTCATCACTCTCTACAACTCCCTGAAAGGAGGCTGTAGCCAGGTGGGGATTGGTCTCTTCTCCCAGACAGTTATCAGTAAGACAAGAGGGCATGGTCTTAGGCTCTGCCAGGGGAGGTTTAGGTTGGATATTAGGAAGAAATTCTTCGCAGAGAGGGTAATCAGTCATTGGAATGGGCTGCCCAGGGAAGTGGTGGATTCTCTGTCCCTGGAGGTTTTTAAGATGAGACTGGATGTGGCACTTAGTGCCATGGTCTAGTAACCACAGTGGTGTTGGATCAAGGGTTGGACTTGATGATCTCAGAGGTCTTTTCCAACCCAGCTGATTTTATGATTCTATGATTAACAGTTTCTCTCAAAGGAAGGATAAGAGCTAAAGGAGATATGTGAAGGATGAAAGAGCTAAGAAAATCAAGCTGTCTATCCAGACTTTTGCTAAGTCCCTCAGCAGCAAACAAGCCATCTTTTAGCCCTTAGCTGAAACTAGCTTATGTTTTGCTATGCTTTAACAATTCCAAGACAGCTCCTGTCCCTTGATACAATATCAAAAAATTTGCACTCCAAAGAGCAATTGCTGTAATAATAACAATACTTACATTTCATTATTTAACCTCATGCTATTCATTCATGAGGATTAGTGCTTAATTAATTAACAACACTTAGCATTTCCACTCAGCACTTTACCTCTTCAAAGCATCATACCAACACTACCTAATTAAGGGCAGAACTCCACAGACACTTCACATCAGGACTTCTCTTTGACAGCTCTGCATCCAAGAGTTGCCCACGTCGTGTAGCATGAATTCAAGTTGAAAGCCCTACTATAACTTCATGAGGAACCAGGTAATGCCCTAGTTATCAAGAGACTATCTTTGCAATTTCCTTTTCTTTTCCTATTGCTTCTGGTTGCTTGCTATTCACCCAGGAATCTAATTATTGGCTAATGTGATGGATGATAATGTGAACCTTGTATTAGTGTTATCTACAAAACTCTCATTCTTCTGTTAGTGCAAACCTTATTCTCAGTCACCTGGTTGAACTGCCTTTGGATAGAAAATGTGTTAACCACAAAAACAGATTATAAAATGACAAGTGAGAGTTTTTAAGGGAGATGGTGCTTTCAATCCATCAGTCAAATGCCTGCTATGAAAGTGCCTTTCTTGTAAGCACCCCAGGATGCTACACAACATCAATAGACAATATAAACACAAAGCTTTTATGGTTCACTTTACAATTGGACATTGACTCTGAACCTGTGAAACAGAAAGGAATTGAATTTCATGACCAAAGAACATAATGTGCAAAGGATTAAGTAGACAACACTGGTAGAAGCAGGAAAGCAGTACGGCATTGGATGCTGATAGGGAGATTAAATTTACAGATAAGAAACCAAAGGAATAAAACAATTCTGAGTAAAATCTTATAAGGCACTCAATACTTCTTAACACTATGTCATATCCACTGGGTTTTTTCCAGAGAATCAAAAATGCTGATGGATTTGTTCAGTCACTGATTGACTGGGCCTTGATTATGAGAACTGAACAAAGAAAGCTCTAAATATGTGGTAGTTCCAGCCAAGGGAATTATACAGACAGTATAGAAATAAACTTCTGATGCAGTCAAATGGGAAGAAAAAGAAAACATTCACCACAGTTCAAGAACTTGTTTAGTGTCTCAGAGGATGTCTTCACAGGGCAGTGGCTGGCAGCCCCAGGCTGCTGCTGATCAAACCTGCTCCAGAGGAAAGCAAGAAATCCAATACAGCAATGTGCCTTCCAGCTCTGAGGGGTGCTGTGGTGTGTCACATGCACATTACAGCTTGCATCAGCTTGGTCAAATAGCTTTCTCAGGAAGCCCTTCTTGCCAGATGAGCCACAGCTTGATAGATACCAGAAATTTAAATGGTTTGGTTCTTTGAAAACTGATTGTCTTGAGCAGAATCAGACCCAACCATTTTGACACTGAAGTATTCCACAAGGATAACTGTGTATTACTATCTGCAGTGTCTTTGTGCCCAAAATAAGCTGTGTTAGTGTTACTGCTAAATTCTAAAATCCCAAGAGTTTAAAATACAAAAACAGGCTTTATTATCGCTTAATAGAATTTCATTTAAGCTGCAGATGGATGAGGCCCTTATTGCCATATTAACCCTTAAGCTGAGGGTCATATACTCATCCTAGACTTTTCTTGACATGTGTTTGGAATTCAATACCTGCCTTTCATCTTCCCCTTCTCCCCACAATTCTTCTCCCCTCACTCAGCTTCAACTGAATACACTCCAGTATTCCCTTGCCACCAGTTACCACTGTCTAGGACTCCCTTGTCTCAGACAAATGGACTAGCCCCCAGTGAGCTAACCCCTAAGGTCTCCATCACTTGGTTACCCTGCAGCCCTTTCTACTGTTTACCATGTAGGACCCATCCCAGATCCATTCCAGCCTGCCCTGCTTCTGCATTAGTTAAGGCTGGTTCTACTGATGTATATGGTTACATTAGGAAAATCATGCATCTTTCTTATTACGAGTTTCCTAAAATGTAATGCTCAAATCAGAACCATCCACTGTGGTTCAGGAAAAGATACCTGTTAATTAGCACGCACATTGGATCAGACCATTAACAAATGCATTAGGAAGCTACTGTGGAAGCTGATTCAAGTTATTATGTAGGTAACTGTGCTTCTGTTTCCAGCACAAAGCTGTCACATGAGTCCTTCTCATCACTTTTGTAGTTACATTTGCTGTGCATCTGTTCTAGCATCTCTAAGCTCTGATGTCTTGGAAGAACACACGCTGAGATACTTCCTGACTGGGGTCAGCTTCCAGTACTGGAACTCTGTTGGGTGTGGCTAAAGATGTGAACCAAACACGGGCATAAAAACAAGTTGGTAAAGACAAAAACCTGGCATTTGGAAGGCAGTTCTCTACTCTGGTTCTTGACCAAAATAAATTTAGATTACTTATATAATTAGGATTTTACCTTTCATTCTGCTGTTTTACTCAGCCTATACAATAAACCAAGTTGGTCTGTTTAGTCTGCCTCATGGGGTGTTGGGGTTTCCAGGTTTCACAGAACTGCAGAATTTCTGCTGTTCATAGTGCTCTCTCTGTAAGAGGTCACAGGGTAGTCAGAAACAGATCCATGGTGGTCATGAATGTAAGTTCCAGCATGTATTTCCTCCCAACTTCCAGTGTTTAATGGGACAATTTATACTTTTTGGCTATCACAGCATCCTACAGCAGTGAATTTCACAAGTGATATTGATTGCACTAAGTCATACATGTGCTTTCCCTCTTGCTTCATCAGAAGAAAGTGTTCCTGCTGCTGCACCACCACTGTGCATAGTATAAGCCTTGCAATTTAGCCTGCACAGGGAGTGCTGCATGAATTGTTTGATGACTGGGAGTACAAGACATCCTAATCTGCTTGCCTAGTGAAACTGCTCAGCACTAGGGTTAATAATGAAATACAGGCCAGCTGAAGCAACCTTTACAGAGCTTGGTATGCTCCAGGGCAAATATGATTGAGAGTGACACTAGCTATATGTTTTACTAATTTTATCACTACACCTATTCTAAGCACAGCCTTTCAATTAATTGATTCTTAGGACTTGATATAGACGGTACTGAAATATTTCTGACAACAGCAATTTCACAAGTAGCGTTACTCATCCCATCCCAACTCAGATTTCTCACCTTTGTGGTCCACAATTTGACTGTCCAGTCAAATGATGATGTGACAAAGAGATGAGAAAAGTCAATTGGACCCACTGCCATGTGACAATTGATTCCTGTGACAGGTCCTTGATGGCCTTCAAAAATTTCACCAATGCCAGCTTTACTGCAGGAAGAAGAGACATTTACATGTGGAGAGTCATTTACCACCCGATGATTTAACATTATTTTTCTTCACTCTTGGGTTCCTGTTTCCTTTTAAAGTACTATTTAACCTGCAAATCTCTCTCCTTTCACTAAGGCATTTGCCTGGAGAGGGAAAAATTAATGCTCAGAATCCAGCACAGGGAGACTTTCTCATACTTGAAGACTTGCCTTACTCACTTCTACAGATACTGTCTACTACTGTAGCTTGAAGTAACATTTATGTATAATTATAAAATAATTCCAAATTGTAATTATACTATAGCTTATGTCTCTGAGTAAGCCATTATCACAAGGAATAACCATTAAAATAAAAATGCAAATATGTTAATGACTTATCATGAGCAATTCTTTTTGTCTTAAATATCTAAAATAACTTTTCACAGCAGTCAATCAAGTCACTAGGAAGCAAATGTTTTTTCACAGTAGTTGAAGGAACAGGTCCTGTGATCAGGTATCATACAGTTATTACTTTTAACAAGGGGAGAAATGCATTTCATCAGCCTGAGGCTAGAGTACCTATTAGGAAGGAAAAATACAACACTATGTAAGACAGAATGTGCACAGTTTTTTTCTTCCTGGAAGCAAATGATGCCAGCTCAGTTATCAGTGCTGTCTCACAGTGTACACAGAAAAGGGAATCATAAAATTACCCTTTTAGTTAGATTATAGAAAAACTGCGAGTGAAAGAAAATACATTAAAAATAGCCACAGTGCTGGTGAGGCCGTCAGCCCTGTGCCAGTGTGAGTACAGTGTGCTGAGAGCTGCACTGGAGGAAAAATGGGGATGGTAGCAAAAAGCTCCAGGAAAGACAGGCAGGAGCAGAAAAACTTTTGTCAATGGTCAGCAGAACGTTTGCTAAAAGGGTGTACTAACATGAGGATCTGCCACCTTCTCCCTCTTGTGAGGAACAAACCAGGAATGTCTGAAAAATCAGAAGTGAGAAATACCCTTGGGCATGCTTCATTCGTCTTAGCAGCCTAAGATTAATTCAAACCATCAGCAGCCACACAGCCTATCAGTATATACCTAAATAGACACAATTTTGCAATACTGTCATTGGTCAGGCTAAAATAGAAATATTTGAAAATAAAAAAATATTGAACAAAATAACTCAAAACAGTATTTAGAAAACATTAGGGGTGTCTAATAGAAGCCTTACAATCTTTAACCAGTGTATCAATGTCTCTTTGGTCAACAGAAACTCCGAATATGATAAAATCTGAATTCAGCAAATATTGCAAACTACTGAAGTGTGGGCGTGAGCTCTAAGTCTATCAGTGGAAAAAGTTTGTTCTTTACAAAAGCATCTCAGAGAATGGAACTACTACTGGAAGCTATCAGAGCACATTAGCATCCCATAGATTTGCAGGGTGCAAAACAAGGAACTTGCAGCATTAAACTACAGTCTGGGTTATGTATGGAAAGGATATGACCCCCATGTGTGAGAGAGCACAGGATTCTGGGAATGAATTAAGCAGAGCTCTCAAACCTATGTGGCACAGCTACATCTGTGCTAGCAAAGAGACCAGGCAGCAGGCCAGACTGAGGGACAACAGTGTGGGTGGCTGCTGGCTGAACAACAAAACCCTGTCGCTCTCCTGGAGAGGGTGGGCATGTCCAAACTGCCCCCTGAGAGTGGGGGCCAGCAGGGCTCAGTCTCTACCCTCACTGCATAGATGCAGCCTGAACTGCTGCATAGGAATACCCGGAACCAGATGGCCACGCATGGGAAACCGCGTTCTCTGTTTCTCATGTGCACATGTGCTCATGGTGGCTTTTCTCTGATTTATGCTTGTGGAGTCTGAAGATGGAGCTGAGAATGGTAAAAAATAAAGCAGATTACCATCTCTTATGAGTGGTTGAGGCCTGATTACCCTGCAACAAAACTGTCTCCTAGGGCCTCATTTGACCTGCCCAGATAATAGATACCTATATCTCAGCTAGCTGTATAAGCCTCCACCTCATCTCGTGGATGAGAAAGAGGCATTTCTGAGGTCTCAGTCATCTTCTCTTCAGGCAGATGTCTGAAAAAGGTAAAGGAAGTCAACCTAAGAGTAGTCATTGCTCCCCACCAACCTCACAGGGAGCCTGGGGCAACTACCCCAGTATAACAGGCTGTAGCACAGATGCTCAGAGTCAGGCAGCTCCTGTCCCCACTCTCCACACACGCTTGGCTACCTCTCGCCAACACAGGTATGCAATGTTATGTCAGTACAAAATGCTGAACCTCACCTTCCATGACGACAAGCTGTGTAGACTGTTCCCTCTTCACTGCCAACGACAAAATTATTGACATCTCCGGTTGGAAAAGCCATTCCTGTAACCGCCACTGGTTTGGACTTATTGTACACAAGCTCCATGCTCTCCTACCAAGACAGATTTTTTGTTATTATTCTGTTTGTTATTTGTTAGTCTGATTTTGTTTTGTTTTTTTTTCCCTAATTAATTTCTAAATGTTGCACGGTGTAGCAGGAGAGGAAGATGAAATCATTTGACCCAGTCACAGGATTTTGGTTTCTACTTGGGATATTGCGAGAAGATGCAATGTCACTAGGATGCTCTTGCCATCCCCAACACTATCTGTCATACCTTTGAGACTGGCAGGAAGGCACTGGTCTTTCCTGCATCATTTTAAATCAGGCAGCTATGACAGGTGAGAATTTAAAATCTGATGGTGCAGAAACTGAAGGTAATACCTTAATGGTTACACTTGCCAGCTCCAGGCTCTAATAAATCATGCAATACCCTTCTATTTACAAACAGTTTGGAAATCAATTGTTACGAAACACATGTAATATTGTGTGCATCTGAGGCATTTATTGCACTGTGTCATTTGTCCCTTTGCAGGACAAAATTAAAAAGTTGGGGTTCTGTCACTACCACCATTCTAAGCGTTACTTTTCAGGAATTTTCTGAGGTAACCAGAAACACTCCCTCTAGACTCCACCATCAAGCTACAAACCAGCAGAAATGTTTTCTTTTTTCATTTGGTAGCTATATTTCAAAGTGAATCAGCATGCCCGTTTTTACTATTGCAAATACAATCACCATGAACAGTTTGTGGCCATTGCAAGATGCGAACACTTTGAGCAGACTTTGCACAACTTTTTGGTTTTTCAGCCTAAATCGTGTAACCCAAGAATCCACAAAAGGGCTGAATGATTTCACCATTTTCATTTTTAGCTATTTAAGTGGGTTTGTTTTCTATGTTTAAAGCATCTAAGCTGCTATTCTTCTATGGCCAAAGCCTGTAGGGTTTTTCTCAGAAGGGTGTTTTGCTGTAACTAAAGAAAGTGAGTGTCCCTGTGAGAGGAGAGGGATGCAAATCCATAGAGAAATAGTTTTGCTTGGTTTATACTTTTCTTTGAAATACATTTGATTCTATTATAAAGGAAAACATGGAAAATGTACGGGGAGAACACTCCATATTTCTGTGAATATGTGAGTGAGAGAGAGAGAGAAAGAGAGAAAATTCAGTGAATATGGGAGACAGACCATATATTTTTGTGAAAATCTTCTAGGATGAGATCATCATTTAGTGTCGCTGTGGAGACACGGCCATAGACTGTGGTGGACTCTCTCCTCCCAGCGCCCACACCATGGCTGTACACAAGTGCTCTGGATCTGTGTCTTTGGAAAGTTTCAGACTGACACACATCAGCAACACTTTACTCCTCCCAATTTAAAACTGTGGCATGTAGCTTGACATCAAGCCCTGTGCCTTTTTTTTTCTAGATCACCGTGAGCCATATGCCAAACTTCAGTGTAATACGGGGTGTGTTCCCATCCTTGTTGAGAGCCAGTTTTGGAGCAGGGAAATTCCATCTGAGTGATGAGGTACCGGAACTCAGATGTTCAAAGATCTGTGCTTCAGAATTTAGAATTCCAGTAAATGAATACATAAGGGTGGAATTTATCTTCTTGATGTTTATATGAGAAATAAGGGAAGGGGTTTGGATGCCTGAGCATAGATGTCTGGGCCATTTTAGGTGCCTCCACTTCTATTGCAGAAGAGTATTGGTATTTCATAGTCCCAGGGCACAACTACCAGACCCATACTGCTGCCTTGGGCAACATGAGCAACATGGTTGACCTTTGGAAGCTGGCCTCACTTTGAGTAGGGGAGTAGATGGGATAACTTCCAGAAGCCCCTTCCACCTTAAGATTGGATGGTTCTGTATCCCAGGGTGGGTTCTGTATCCCAGGGTGGGTATCTGAAATGGCATTTCACACTTGGAGGGGTTAGTCATTCTCCAGAAGTACCAGCCTCTCCCTCTGTAAAGGAAAATTGGAGTTGACATGGACTGAACTTTTAGATGGCTGAGGTTAGGATAGAGAAGTCCCACCTCTTGTGTCAACACTGAAAAGCTAATAATTTGATAGTAATTGCACAATAATGCATGATTAATGGATGGGTAATGGAAGCAGTAAGGGGAATTTCTATGCAGCATTTTGAAACATGATCAGATCCCATGATGCTTAGTAAAAATTATATTAATTTTCTTTCCTAAGAAATTATGTATAAAAAATGAATGATGTGATAGAATAGAAAATGTACTACTCCAGGAGATAACACTTAAAACACGCTTTCTGTACACCTTTTTCAGCATCGGATTCTTTGTTTAGTTTCCATTATTATAATCACTAGTGGTTTGGGCAATTTTCCTATGTTTCCTTTTATTTCAGGTACAAAGGAGAGGAGGGGAGGAAAAGGTGATGGTAGCAAACATTCCAGAGAGAAGAGATTAGTTCTAAAACTTTTGAATTGCATTGTTTGTTGCTTTGGCTACCGAAGGCAGGCAGCAAAGTAAGCTTTCTGACTGTGGGCCTTGGAAACCTGTAGTGCCTAGGGTGTGTTCAGTAGCAGTGCAATCTAGTCCATATTTGTTAAACAATGCTGCAGAATAAGTGCAATTTATACCACAGGCGACTTCTGTAATTATCATGCTTTAAAATGGACTATTTCATTTTCACTTGAAACTGACCTATGTATTAATGTATTACAGTAATTACATGATTTGTGGTAAAGGAAATGGGTTTGGCTCTTAGCAGAGACTGCTGGAAGCAAGCTGTACTCTTTCAAGTGCATCCATTGGTTTTAGTTTGTATAGGATGTGAGGTTTTGGCTTTTAGGAGCTGTGTTCCACTACACAGGTATCCTGCTCTACTGAAGGCACTTTTTTTCCCCTGTATAGATGAAAACAAACCCACCTGTGGAGTTGAGAGCATGTCCAGGCTCCAGGAGCACATTTTGCCATCCGTAGAGACGGTAATGAGATTGTGCGCATTCTGTGTCCCGACTACATTCACACAATACACAGGATGCTGAAAACACATTGACACTGGAAATCAGAGAGCCATCTCACATTTTCACAGACAAATTTCTAATGTCTCATATGTTATTTTAAAGAACGATTAAGTAGTCACACAATGCCTGGAAAATACAACTCAGCTTTTGCCAGAAAGGAATTGTTTTGCTTAGGTTTTTTTAATTTAAATTTTAAGAAGTATGTTATGGAGGTGGAAATGTTTTCTAAGTTTCATTTTCCTCATAATAAAACAACCCAGCTGAGTAATGCTGAATTATGTGGATGAGATTTCACCCACAGGGACTTTATCATTCTGCTGATGGCTTTTGACACTGAAAATAACCAGCAGAAAGAGGCAAATTGTCCAAATGGAATCAAAATGAAATCTTTATTCAAGAAAACAGCTGCATAAAACTTGAACTCTGTCAGAATTTGGCTTGCATGATAAATATTTGCAAATGCACTCTAGCTGAAGAACATGAACCACCCCATCAGTGTTTTTCAGCATTGGCCAATACACCTTTTTGATTCTGTTCTTATAAATGGGGAGTGACTAAATTTAGGGTGTTACACCTGGCTTGACATAGCACAATCATTCCATGGAGGCTGAATTCCACGTAGTATGCATAATGAAACTTGGCCTATTCCTTTTCCAAGGAACCTGGTAACATTTTGAGCCTAGTGTCATCTGATATCTGATGGTAACATATGAGGGATGGGTCAAGTTCAGCAAACTCCAGAGTGAAAAATCAGTCAGTCTGAACAACAAGATTTAATTTCCTTTGACCTGTACAAGTGATACTGCTGAATTAAGGGTTAAACATATACAGAAGTCAAGCAAAGGAAAATTTAATTTCTCTGATGTTTTTGCCAATAAATAGAAGACCTGTGTTTCCAGAAAGAAAAAAACACTTTTCTCTAATACTTTCCTTATTTAAAGAAAATTAGGACCAACTTACAAGAGATCCCTATGGAGCTTCTAAGCCAACTCCATGCAGAGTTAGAAATGTAGCATTTGCTCCTGCTGAAAGGAATGGCAGAACTACCACTTACGTCAGACTACTTCAAAATCCAGCTGCAGGTCACTTACCCAGTCAGTGGGAAAAGGCATAAATCTTATTTCAGGTTTGATACCTGAGTGCTCAATAAATGTCCCCTCTCTAAGTGCAAAAAGTGCAAAAATGTGTGAACATTGTTTGTGCACACACTGAGAGGGACCAAGCAATTACTGCTTGTCATGGTTTGCAATGGTACCTTGTGCTTGGAGTTCACCTGTACACACCAGTAAGTCACAAGGTCCATTCTGATGCTGATTTTTTTCTTTCTCTCAAGATTGTCAGGCACCTGGTTTCTCCCAGATCATCAAATGGACCCCAACTGGTCCCTCACACGTGCTTCACACTATTACCCTCATATGATGGACCTTTTTGCTGCTTAGTGTTAAGGTAATGACTCCAGTGCTAAACATGATTGCTACATACTGATGTATGAAATAAGCATAGGCCTATTTTTTTCATGGGTATTTGAACTCCAGTAGTCCAAACAGACAGTGACAGAGTGGGTGGGAGGAAGACAAAGCAAGCATTGGACTATCTAGGATATTTAGCAGGGAGGAAGACAGTAAGCTATGTCTTTCCAGCAGCACCTCAGTGTGTCAGGTCTGGCTTTAATCAGGGCTACCAGCCATCAATTTCATGCACAATAAAACTCATGGCAGAAATGAAAAGATGTAAGGAAAGCAGATGAATAAGACAATCAACTGTATGCAACAGAAAGTCTAAACAGGCTCCTTCCTTTCAAAGGGTCGCTGCCAGCTTGCTTTTATTTATTTTGGAAATGAAATCATCATGCAAAAGGGTTTTGTCTTAATTAAAATTTCCTGTTGTTCCAAGTACAGATGTGTGGTGGGTGTGAAAGGAAATTAGTGAGTAAGCTGCGGGTAGAATCCTCTTTCCTGGTGAATCCAGGCAGTAATCAGTGATACTAAATTTCAGGAAGGTTTAAGTCAGTGAAAACAACACGATTGTTTCAAATAAACAAAGCAAGAGAAAGAAAAGAGAAAAATCCTTTTTTCTCCTATGGCATGAGTTCAAGTTAAAAATGACTATTCAACTCACATATAGCAGTACATAAATTAAAATCATTACGGTAGAGTTGTCTTAATTTAATTTTTTTTTTTTTCTTGGCAGCTAGGATTCAAGCCAGCCTTTTGCAACCAAGACCTCATTTGCAGTTTATGTAAGTAATTCCTATCTATATACATAAAGTAAGCACTCTTTTATTGTAAAATCTGATCACTGCTGAAAAACATCATGCTTCCTCATGTTAAGACTGTTTAAACACTTATTTATACCAATCCATGACAGCACATAAAGTGCCCATCCATAACTGAAAGTAATTTATTTATATTTGTCAAAAGCAAAACAGCATATATTGTCCTATTGCAATAATAAAACTACTTTAATATGTAATTCCAGGAGGTACAATTTTGCCTTAAGTGATTTTTGAGTGTAAACAAATTACTTCCCATTAATCTTTTTTTTCCACTAGATTTCGAGTCCCAGTTGTTCAATTTTCAGTGATAGTCAGCTTCTTGCTACTGGTTTTCTGGTCTGCTACATCTTTAAATTGCACTTCCAGGAGAGACTGTTTCTTTTCATGCAGATTGAACAACATTACTGGCGACAAAATGAGCAAAACATTAGGGAAATGAAAAGCAATGTTGAAGTTGCAACCCATGGCACAGATCATTAGATAATTACATCAACATTCATGATAGTGGAAATTTAGGGAACAATATTTGTAATGCCTGGCCCACTAAGTGTGTCTGTGCACACCTGTCATTTTGTAATATAAGAGACTGGCCATCATAATACTGGCCCCACACTGAATCTTTTGCATCAATTTACGTGGCATGGCTTCTAGAGTGGTCTTTTAACTCCAGGGATTATGTTGTCACAGTCAACAAAAAGCTGAACTTTGATCTGCAAATTCCAAAGAATCACAGAATTGTGAAAGCTGGAGGTGCAAAAGTACCATCATGTTGTCCGATCCTTCATTCTGCTAGAACAAGATTATTATCTCTTAGAGTGCTTTATGTAGTTCAGTTCCTTATGTTTCTGAAAATCTGCATTTTTCTGCACTCTTATATGATACTTTGTATTTTTCTCCTCCTTTCCACTTTCCAGTAAGAAATTGCCCTAAGCCCACTTCCAAGATGAGCTACTCCACTTTCTAGCTGTTCTGAAGAGTCTGCCTAAGCCTAAACTCTGGAGGACAACTCAAGAATGCACAACATCTTTGTGCAGAATTGACTGAAGGTCAGTGCAGTAGCAGAGTGAGAACACTTTGGCAGGCAATCCAGGCTCATCTCTTCCTCCAGCACAATAGTCTCCTACCACAGACATCATCCTTGTGTCACAGAGAAACTCTTCCTTTTCAGGCATTTTTTGTTACTGCTCTGCCTATATATCTTCCAGATATCATTAGAGCCCATTTCCACCATCACTATCTGCAGGTACCAGTGTGTGTCAGCAAAATGCTCTCCCACATCATTCTATGGAAACAAACTCCTCCCCAGTGCACAAGCTCTGCCCTATGGCCCTGTCCAGAGTAGGAGACCATGGCAAGCATTTATGTATTCCTCTATTAGAAAAAAGAAGCAAACTGCCACACTCTTTTAAAGGGTACAGTGTGACTTACAGGACTCCACTGAGATCATCATAGGTGCCTAATCTGGTTCAAAGGAGAAACTCGTGTACACCAAGACAACAACAAATGATTCAAATTGCCTGCCATGCTGGACTGACAGACACACAGTCTCTATAATGACCTGTCTTTACAGGCAACAGAGAGCAAGAGTTACAGCGCCACTGAGCTGGCACAAAGGTGCCTCACTCAAGTGTTGTACTCAATCCTGCTTTTTCCCTGGAAAGGAGAATAATCTCCTGACTTGACTGTACAAAGTGTGATGGTTAAGTACTTACAGGAGGTGGTTGTACATCTCTCTTACCTATTTCTTTCCTTTCAAGGGCCACACTTAGGTTTTCATCTGTGTGGCAACCAGCATTGTAGACACAACTATACAGTTCTATTTCCTTGCTGACCATTTCCTCTAAGGAAAGGAGGAGGTGATTTTTGTCCTTACCGTGTGAGCAGCAGCAGATAAGGGAGTTCTCTGAACTGGAGTGCGCCTGTGACTGCGATTATCCCACAAGACAATTTGGCCAGAATATGTTCCACCGACGACAAGGTTTGGGTGAAAGCGGGCAAAACAGACTGACATCACAGAGGACTGGAGTAAAAGAGGTAGAGAAGAGAGGGGTTACATGATCAGTTATCTTCAATACTCTCCTTAGGGAATCATATGGTAATTAGCATTTTGTGGTTTAGGAACCACTGTATGAACTCTATTCATACTCCTTGCACACCAGTAATTCTACTAAAGCCAACAGGACACATGCAAAGAGCTGACTTTGACCCTAAAATGTGTTATTCCACTGGTCCTCGGGAAAATATACACCAAAGGGTGAGTCTAAGCATGGTGCTAAAAACCTTGAGATAATCTCTCCATGACAGTGATGGGAAAGTGCTTAATTTCATACAGAAGTGAGAACTTCAAGTAACCAGATACCCACTGGACAGAGGTTGACATCCTCGCTCATGATATCCCATCAGGGAGAGCTCTTCCCCTATTGATCCTCTAACTTTGGGCTCTCAGGTAATGAGATGAGTCTGTGAGAGACCTACCACAGTGCACCTCAAGGTGTGCTGTCCTGAGAGCATCAGCTGACAAGCTGCATCTCATTGTTGGATCCACAACTGATTTCACTGCTACCGAGGTGCTCTTCTAATAGCAAAGGGAACCACACTTTCCTCTATACCATCCAAACAGAACTCAGTTTTTCCTCATTTTAATGACATCTGAGTTGTCTTTGTACATTTTCTTTAGCTGGGGATGCTGAGGAACCAGACTGGTATCATGGTTGCCCTGGCTACCCGATAGAGTGCCCCACAAGCCAGTATGAAGATTGGTATCTATCCCAACTACTGCTTTTCAGTGTCTTTAAAATAACATACAATAGCTGAAGTCGTCAAGTGAATAATCCTCAGAACCTTCATGTGCCAACAAGCTACAGCTGAGAGCAACAAGCTGTAACTCCGTCAAGTCTTCCATTATCTTCCTAAGGAATTATTTCCCATTTTTATATAATTGGTACTGTATACTATGTCTTTGTTCTATGCAAATTGGAAAGCAAATGTTACAGCATTCATACAATTTCCTGAGAATTCACATACTAATAAAGAGAGTTTGCAAACAAAAGCAAATGTCATTTTTAAAATAGTTTTAGTGATGTTTGCTAGCTGCAGAGGAAGGCTTGAACTGCTGTGGCAATTACAGTCAGAAAGTTAAATTCACTGTTAATTTTTGCATTCTTAAAAATTCATTTTCTGACTGTTTCCAATGAGTTTTGCTAACACATTTTTTTAATATTTTAATGACTGAATATTTTGAAGTGTTGGTGTTCCTGTGTGGGAACACACTTTACTAAATGACAACGGGTTAACTAAATTACCAAATTTCAGTTGCATAAAAAGCATGGCAGACATTTAAGTAAACTTTGTTGAATTGGGAACATCAGAGTTGCCAAACTGAACTAGACCCAATGTCTACCTAGGTAATGGACCTGTTTCTTGCAGAAGTGGATGGAGTTGTGAAAACCTTGACACGGGCAGATGTGTTGTCTCCTTTCCTTACTGCTCCTCATTCTGATTTCTAGTGGCTAGAGACTGATTTGCACTTACCAGAGACTTGAAATCCCTTCTGATAGGGCTAGAATTAATTATGCTAATTCCTGATGTCTATAACTAGATTAATAAGAATAAAGCAAAATATGAAGTTTGAATACTTTTTACTGGCTGCCTGATATCTATTGTTTAAAGCCAGATTAAATGCTAAATTAACTTAATAGACATATTTATAGCACACAGCAGTATATTTAGTACTGTTTTTTTGACCTAGTAAGATCATCAAGACAATGAAAAAAGCTGTAATTGCCTTTTTGATTCCCCAGTCTCTAGATTCTTGTGGCTCTTCACTTGACATCTATGATACCCTCGCTTGTTGACTAAAGCTTTTTCATATATTTCTCTGATGTTAGTCTAGCATCTAATGATTAGGTGATTAGTGTACAAAAATGCCTACTTTAGTCCATATCTATCTAAGCACTTGAGCATAGTAATTACACTATGGTCAGTCGCAGCAACAAGAGGTAGCTTCCAAACACTATTTCCAAAGGACCTAGCTTTACAGGAAAGAAAACCCACTGTAAGGAACAAGATGTGGGTGCTGCTAAGAGCAGTTTAAAATTCAGCTACACTGCAGCTGCCATCCAGTTCCACAGATGCCCCCCACATTATAATTAAAACGGCCTTACAGCACATGTTCTACATTTTATCTCTTTGTTTAATGGCTTCGTGAGTTGTTTTAATCAACCCCTATCATTCCTTATAGCTAAGCTGACAGATATTCTTACATGAAGCGAAATAGCCAGATGATTTTAAAATAGTACAGCTCCACCACTGTGTACACCCCACAGCAGCTACAAGGCTCCACATGTATTTTAAGAAACCCCAATTCAAACAGTCATTCCACAACAAAGTTCTCAGTTTGTCCCAAACAAACCTGGGAGACTCTGAAGCAGGGCAAAGAAGCCAAGTGGACAGTGTATTTTTAAACATTCTGTTTTCATGGTTAACATGTTTTTGAATCAGAATACCAGAATACAGTTGAATGGTCAGGATATAAACTGCTAAAGGGTGTTTTTCATAAAGTTCAAAAATAACCTACAGACATGACACAGAGTTAAGCCCTCTACACTGCTTCTAGTTTTACATATTGCTCCAAAGTAGCTTGCAGTCTTCAAATGTGAAATGTTCACATCCTTTTAATTATTTCAGTATTATTTTTCTATAAAAGAAAAACTTCTGTCAAATATTAGAATTTAACAATTTAAGGAGTCCACTCCATACCACTTAGTATAGTGATTATTTTCTTAAAATTAATGGCAGTTCTCAGATGAGTAAGGGCTGTAAGATCAAGCCCATTCATTTAACAGCTTTAAAAGCATTCATTTCTTAGCCATAATGGGAGAGAGCAGCAGACAGGTCTCCAGTCTGTCTGAACAGCTCTGTGCTCAAGGAGAGCTGCAGAAACCATACCCCATAAGCTTCTTCTGCCTCCAGGCTGCCTCTTGTTTGCCCATTCAAGTAGTCTTACTCCTCTAAAAGAGAGTTTTGCTACTGACTTCAAAGGGGGAGGATCCAGCACATGGTGAGGTTTTTAAAATAACAGCATATCCCCTGTTGCACTTCTGCCACACCTTTCTAGGGAAATCTCACAGTGCTTTCCAATAACAATGGTAAAGCTTCACAGTTTTTCAGTTAGGGATATTTTATGCACTATTGCTGCTTAGTTACCTTTTGTAGAGGGCAGAAGCAGCTAGATCCATAGTATATGGCAACAGCACATAAATAAGAAGGCAATTCCATGGGATTTTAGTGTCCACAGTATAAAAGTAGCATTTGGAATAGGAGATTCCCAGCATTGTCTTTTTATGGGTGCCACAGAGCATCTATATCTTTCAGCTGGTGGGACCCAGAAGAAATGGACACACCCCAGTGTCTGGTCATCTGCATTTCTCTGAATTGCACTGTGCAGTGAATAATTTCATTATTTACTTTAGCTTAATGCTCAGGTATTTTCTCCCTCTATGCAAATACAGCCTACTGGATTTTGCTTTCTCTGGCTTTTTTTTAGCTTTCTCAGTGGCCTTACTAAAGGCTTCTTCTGGTACTTCTGGCTTTGCAATCTTCCACCCAGATGTTCTACTCCTAGTGGAGCCACCACACTAGTGCTGCTGCCTCATCCCCTGTGCATGCTCTGCCTCTCTGTGGAGACGAGCAGTTCTTCAAGGGCCAGGGGAGCCAGCCTGAGTTAGTTCCAGGTGGGAGCACTGCCCAGGGCATAAGGGAAGAGCTCAAATTGATAAACCTGGGTTTTTTGCCTGGAAAACAGGCAATCCTGCTTCCTGAATGATAAAATTTCTGCTCCCAGTTGCTACAAGAACCTCACTGAACACATAATTAAGATACAAAACATGAAATGTCTGTGTTCTTCATCACAGCAAAGAGAGGGCTGGCATCAGAAACAGAAATGTTGCCTAGCCCTTGGAGAGGTCTGCAGTCGGGGGCACGAAGGAAGTACCCCCGGTCCCCTGCCTTGTTGGGGTCGGGTTGTCTCAGCCTGTGAGGAGCAGCACTGTGGAACCGCCTCTGCTTCCCCCCTCCTTCCCTCCTCCCTCCCCACTGATGCACTGATCCAAACAGGCCCTGAGCCCTCTTCAAGTGGCTGGCAAAGCTGGTTTTTATTTTAGAAGCTTAATACGGCCCAGATTTGGATTAATAGTGGCGTATCCCTTCAACCACAGGTACACGTGCTCGGAACAGACAGTCATTTAGCTTCTCTTTACTGAGAAGCCTAACCTCAGTACCCACATCTGATGTGTGTAGGGCCCTGGAGACTCAGCTGTCTCTGCTCATGTCCATACGTTAGGATGGCACTCTGCCCAGCCACCAGTCGAACAAGTTCACAAAGACCTGGGTGCTAAACAATAATGACTCTCAACAGGCTTCTGCCTTCAGCCAGACCTCTTCTGCAGGAAACCACTCCCAGAGCCAGAGCTGCCATACTGGTGCCATATGCCTACGCTTGACACCAGATGGATCTCAAAACAATACTTTGTCAGTGGGAAGAAGCAATCTGAGGAGTTCACAGGCATTTCTAGGCTCCAGAACACCAGGTTATATTGCAGCAGGCACTCAGGAGACTCCTGGGTGTATTTTCTGGCTGAGCAGATGCATGTGAAAAAGCACTGCTGTCAGTGATATGCTGCTCTGGGTCAGTCTGACACAAACAACAGTGGACAATAAAATCAACTGCAGCTGAGATGAAGGGACAGATCCTTTTCCATGCTTGAGGGAATCGGCTTAGAGGGACTGAGAGCAGAGGGACAAAGCTGTGGTACTGCTGCTTAGCTATAACCATGAAAAGGTGCCAAACTCATAGTCCTTCCTCCATAGGAACTGAAGAACAGTGACTGGACATCTGATGCCTGCTCTTCTAAGGAATAAATAAATAAAGGCCAAAAGTACACATGCAATTTACTTATAAACTTTTGTTTTCACTCCTGCTCATCAAAAACAGTATTTAAAGAGTCTAAGCACTAATAGTCC